GGTAGATGAGATAAATTGATTTTTTTGGTTTTGTTCAAAGGTCAACTTAGTTTTTTTTAAAGTTCAAGGGCTTATTTAACTTTTTTTTTAAAAAAATTAAAAGTTATTGTAAATTATAAATATAAAATTATTTAAATATTCAAAAAATTAAATATAAAATAATAAAAAATTAAATTGGGTAGAAAATTAAATATACATATTAAAAATACTAAAACTATTATCAAAAAGTTTACAAAATTAATATATATATAATAATAATAAGTTATAAAATAATTACTTATAAATTATTTAAAAAATTAAAAAGTATTTTTAAAAATATATATTATACTTAACATATACATGTAACATATAGGCATATCATCAACACTTATACACAATATTCTTACTGGATTAATTGAGAATTATAAAATATAAATTAGTCGAGACTTATTTCTGGATTTTTGTAATTGTCTTTTTGTAACTCTCGACTAATTTAAGTTATATAATAAGTTTCACCATAAAAAATAATTACAAAACATAGTAAGTTTCAACTAATTTAAATTTTGTAAGTCTCGATTAATACAGTAAGAATAATTTGTATAATTATTGATAATATGTCTACATATTATATGTATATATTATGTATAATATATCTTTTTAGAAATATCTTTTTAATTTTTTAATAATTTATAAGTTATCATTTTATAACCTATGATATATTTTAAAAAATTAAATTTTTATAATAGTTTTAGTATTTTAATATGTATATTCAATTTTTTAATAATTTAAATTTTGTTTTTAATATCTTATTTTTAAAATATTTGAATAATTTTATATTTAAAATTTAAAATAATATTTGTTTTAATTCAATAAGCCCTTAAACTTTAAAAAATCAATTTGACCATAGAACAAAATAAAAAATCAATTTTTTAATTCATTTCATTTGTCATGACATCAGTAACAGTGGACTACCACATTAGTATCATAAACAATCATGTCCGTATTGTAAACTATCATGTCAGCACCATAATGGTCAACGACGAAAAATAATGATCAAATGGCTACATTGGGTTTGTTTTTTGTGTTGCAGTGCCACATTAATTTTTTTAAGTATAGGGGCCTTTAATGCCTTTTTGTCATTTTATTATGAGAAAAAAGCGTCAGTGACCGAAAATGACTTATAATATACAATTTTGACCAACTTTTTTGTGATTTGCGAAAATGACCAACAAAATCGCAACGCGATTTAGAAAATCGCAACGTTGAAAAGAAAATCGCAACGGTCAAAAGAAAATCGCAACGCGATATTCCAAGAATCGCAATGCGATTAAGAGAATCGCAACGCGATCTTCCAAGAATCGCAATGCGATTCAGAAAATCGCAACGCGATTAAGAAAATCGCAACGCGATTCCAAGAATCGCAACGCGATTCCAAGAATCGCAACGCGATTAAGAAAATGAGTAAATTCTTTCAAAAGTTGTTGCATTTGTTTCTTTCTTAAGAATTTTCTCTAAAAAGATAGTATCCGCGCGGACGTGTCGAAGACACGTATTACCACGACCACGACCACGACCACGACCACGACCACGACCCGACCCGACCCGACCCGACCGGACCCGAGACGAGACGGCGGCGCGCGAGAGTCCCCCTTGTTCTCTTTCACTCAACAAGGAAATGGGAAATCCAAGCCTTAAATACACTTCCCAATAGTGTTTCCAATACTATGTGGGATTGAGCATTACTCAACACTTCAAAGAAAATATAGCAATTTTTGTAGTATTTTCCCACTTAATCCATATCTAAAAATATTAAAACATTTTATCAAGAGAATTAAAAGAGTTGTAGATATCTACATTTCAATTCAAACTTATACATATAGTTTTAATATGATAAAATGTTTTAATATTTTTAAATATGGATTAAGCGGGAAACATGCTACAAAAATTGCTATATTTTCTTTGAAGTGTTGAGTAATGCTCAATCCCACATAGTATTGGAAACACTATTGGGAAGTGTATTTAAGGCTTGGATTTTCCATTTCCTTGTTGAGTGAAAGAGTACAAGGGGGACTCTCGCGCACCGCCGCCGCCGCCGTCTCGGGTCGGGTCGGGTCGTGGTCGTGTCGTGGTCGTGGTCGTGGTCGTGGTCGTGGTCGTGGTAATACGTGTCTTCGACACGTCCGCGCGGATACTATATTTTTAGAGAAAATTCTTAAGAAAGAAACAAATGCAACAGCTTTTGAAAGAATTTACTCATTTTCTGAATCGCATTGCGATTCTTGGAATCGCGTTGCGATTTTCTGAATCGCGTTGCGATTCTTGGAATCGCGTTGCGATTCTTGGAAGATCGCGTTGCGATTTTATGAATCGCATTGCGATTCTTGGAAGATCGCGTTGCGATCTTCTTTTCAACGTTGCGCTTTTCTAAATCGCGTTGCGGTTTTGATATCGCGTTGCGATTTTGTTGGTCATTTTGGCAAATCAAAAAAAAGTTGATTAAAATCGTATATTATAAGACATTTTCGGTCACTGACGCTTTTTTCTCTTTTATTATTATAGGTTTTTAGGTATAGTCGTAGGTATCTGACTCAATGATTTACTAACTCAAATTAGGTAGGGTAGAAATTCATTTGAGAGTAATTATGTCAATCCAGTTTACTCCATTCATAATATGAAATTTAAATCTTAAATTTTATTTATGTAACACCCAAACTCAATCGAACCTAAAATTCGAATGATTTGAATATTACACAGAACCATATAAGTGGCTAACCATTTTTTTAAAATCATTTCTCAATTTTCATAATAAACATCCATGTTTGAAAGCATAAACATTCAAGTTTTACAAAACAGAGAGCTTCCAAAATATAACATCTCAAATATATGAGTTTAACAAAAGAAAGTTACGACTCAATTACATGTAAGGTCTATGAAACATATGTCCTTTAAAATGTACTCTAAAAGCTTGACAAAATATGGAATCCACAATATGACGATAAGCTCCTCGAACAGGCATCTAAGAACCTACAAACGAATTTTTTTTGAATTCTACGGTACGAGCTCAGTGTCACACAAATCACTCTACTAAACTACATGCATTCACCAAATGGGTATGCTAACAAGTATGGCCATGAAACATAAAAAATGCATCAAGCATATAACATATCAAGCATCATGGAGTAATTCAAGTCACAAAATCTTGCGGCAATGTTGACATATAACTAAAGTGCCTTAGCACTAGTAATAAAAGTACCTCAGCACTGATACAAAAGTGTATGAGCACTGATACTAAAGTATCTCGGCTTTGATAAAAACATATTTGAATATTTCTCATAAATAGATATTAGACAATCGTCATACGAATGAGTAGCTCGGATGTCCTTATCGTTTCTCGAATGTCAAACAAAGGCATAAGCCTTATGAAATATTTCCTTATAACGTTATTATGCTTAACACACAATTATTCACTGTTTACACTTATAACTTTTTATTACCAAGGTTTCCAACCTTTAAGCCTCTTATTTGAATCCTTAGGCCAAAATAATCTTCTAATTCTCTTTTATCATGATGACACTGATACTCAACACTATAATATCAATGTTACTTCCTTACGATATCAATACTACTTTAAGTATCGATAATCAAATCATATTCGATATATTTGAAATAACTTTTAGTATCAGTATCCTGTAGGGAGTATCAATTCTTCTTTTTTAATGGTATTATACTCTCATAGGTACCAATACTAAATTTGGATTTGATATTTTAAAAAATCAATCTAGTATCAATACCCTTACCTAGGGTAACGATACTACCCTTTAGTGGTATGGATACTGCCCAAGTATCGATACTAAAATTGCATTCTGAAAATTGAAACCAACCCTCAGTATTGTACTACACCTTTAGTATCTATATCTCAAGAACATTATTGATATCCTATGAATAAGATACCGATGTTACCTAACCAAAATCCCTTGATTTTGGCCTTACATATGAACAATAATGGTATTGATACCCTAAACCTAAAAATTTCTATTTTCCATGCACTAGTCAATGCAAAACCTACGAAAAACCTTCCAAAGGCTCTCAAAATTTATTTAAAGTTTATGAGAGTTTAAGAAGATCATAATATATCTTTTTCATACATGAGTAATATCATAACACCTCATTCCTTCACGAACACAAATATATCCATTATGTCCCATGCACTTGTGCAAACAATCAATTTACACCTAGTGATCTACAAGCCTTATAGAAGAGTTGGAAGTCTGTTACCTTGATCCTAGTTGTTAGAAAATACCTCAAAATCACCCAAATACAAGCTTCTCTTTATTTTTATCTTTGGAATTTTTTCCAATTTTTTCACTAAGCACGAGACAAAGAATAAATTACTAACACATCTAAAACTTAATAGGAGTACAAATGTGATTCTTACACTTTAGAAATGGATTGAAAATGTTCTAGAACCCTATAACCTAAACCCTTCCAAAACCCTATCCTTGGTCACCATGGTCAAACTTTAAGATGATGAACTTAAAAGGAAGTTCTAGGGGTGGAGATTGTATTTCTTACCTTCACAAATATGATCTAAAATTATAGGACAACAAAGTTTTCCCCTTTAGAGATTCAACAAAGGTAGAAAGAGAATATAAGGAGATAAAGAAGAAGACAAATGGTGAAAAAAAATTAGAAAGCCTAACATAATATCCAAAATTCACTTGTGCCAATTTGAAATTACTAACGTTATAATTTGAACGATTTAACGTCACATTATACTAAAATATAGTTAGTTGGTAATTTTATCATTACCATTTTAATTTGTATTTGATGCAATTCTTTTTAAACGAAATGGTTTTACTCGACTGTTTGGCACTCAATTAGAGATTAAAACGAGTCATTGGGCTATAAAACTGCCAATTTGGGCTGGATTATAGCAATAAACCAACCAAGAGCCCTAAATCCAACGCCTATTTGATCCGTAAGAAACCCTAGCATCAGTATTTCCTCCATATATAATATAATTGTTATATTAGGGTTCTCCTTTATTGCCACATCGCTCCCACTGAAAGACTCACACTTCGGCTTTCGGTTTCCCACCATCCAAACAAAGGGTATTTTTTTGTTCAAAATCTTTTAGTTTTTATTAACTCTAATTTCCTCTTAAGACTCACTTTAATTCTCTATTTCTTCAAAATCCATTGTTGTTTTGACAGGTATGGAAGCAGCCACCGAGGTACCCAGAGACCCAACTCACCCCACCAACGAAGTCAAGCTTTTTAATCGCTGGTCCTTTGAGGATGTTCAGGTTTTCCCTTCATTCTCTTTTGCCTTCATATGCATAGATCTGTTTTGATTTCTTACGCGAAATGTCTCATTTAATCTTTATGTTATTTTTATCGCCTTTCTACTTTAGTTACTATTATGTATGTCTATCTGCAAAATTCCTTTGACTGGATTTAGTGTAGCACAGTTATTGTTTCGTCATTTTAAAAGGGGGTTGAATTTATGTTTTGAAGTTCTCTGTACATATCTAGCTTCACATTGATTTTGATGAAATGTGAAATGATTGTTTCCTTTAGCTGTTATTTGTCTATAATTTGAGCTTGCTTTTGGTTTGGCTTGGATTGATTTGATAAGATTTGAAGTGTTAGATTTTAATTCAAGTGTCTGTATGAATTGAGTTCCGATTCTTGAGTCAGTGTTTACGGATTATGGTTAACTGATTTGTGTTTGTGATTTATGAATTATTGTTATTGACTATAACTCTTGATTGGAAAGAATTTGGTTCCTCAATTTGCTGTTCCGTTTGATTATTGTAACTATTAGTTGCCATGATCCTTGACCTGAGTGGATATTGATTTTAGGTTACTGATATCTCTTTGAGTGACTACATTGGTGTCCAACCTTCCAAGCATGCAACCTATGTACCACACACTGCTGGGAGGTACTCAGTGAAGCGTTTCCGAAAGGCTCAATGCCCAATTGTTGAGAGGCTTACAAACTCATTGATGATGCACGGCCGGAACAATGGGAAGAAACTTATGGCAACTAGGATTATTAAGCATGCCATGGAAATTATTTATCTCTTGACTGATCAAAACCCAATTCAAGTCATTGTTGATGCTATAATCAACAGGTAGTCTATATGAAGCCATAAGCTTAGTTAATGCTTCCGTTGATTTTAGAATATCTTTATTATACCTAATCTTTAATAAGCTTCGTTACTGATCAATTGATTCAACAGTGGACCTCGTGAAGATGCTACTCGGATCGGTTCTGCTGGTGTTGTCAGGCGTCAGGCTGTTGATATTTCTCCTCTTCGTCGGGTGAATCAGGCCATCTACCTATTGACCACTGGTGCCCGTGAATCTGCATTCAGAAACATTAAAACCATTGCAGAATGTTTGGCTGATGAGCTTATTAATGCTGCAAAGGGTTCTTCTAACAGGTAAAGTAGTTCATGTCTTTTTTGTTTCTCAATTAGTTTGGATCACTGAAAGCTCTGTTGCTGTCGATGTTGATTATATATTGGATTGTGCAGCTATGCCATCAAGAAGAAGGATGAAATCGAGAGAGTTGCAAAGGCCAACCGTTGAGGCATTAGATGATATTATGAAACCTTGTTTGTGGGGAAATTTGGTCATTTTAATCAGTACTTTATAGGTTATATTTTTTGTTTCCTGACCATGCAATTGCAGTAATGTTTTGTTTGCTACTAAGTAGACATGTTAGTTTATGGTTTTAACTTTTATTGGAGTTTATCAGTAGATACTATTAAAATGAATGATTTTTTGCTGATTGTGATTTAATGAAATGCATGCCATATTTAAGTACTGGTTGAAATTATCATGTAGTTTCCCTCCTTTTTTTAAATACAAAGATTGAACACGATTTGTTTTATAGCAAAGCAGCTTACAGATGGGCTTGCACGCTGGTCTGGGAACTGTTTGTGCTGCTTTATCATTGGATTATAATTTGATAATTTAATGTTGCTTTAGAAAATTCTTCTTTTTCTAACTTAACTCCTGTAACAGTGTCAACCAAGGGCTAATTTATTTGCTAAAGCATTTTTAAAATTGCAGTTTGACCCCAACGTTTTATATAATGCAATTCTGATTCTCCCAACTTCTAAGCGTATTAAATTTGCTATACAATATATACAACTTATTTGATAAGATTTTTAATCTTATTTTGTCGTTCTTTAATATTATGTTGCCCTTTAAATTTGTATTTATCACATATGATTACATTTAGTACTTAATGTTATGTAATTTACTAAAAAATACTTTATAACTATTATTTACCACTTAATTTTTCAATTTATCGTATGATATCTAATTTTCTCAAAAGTAATTGATAAAAAGAACCTATACTTTTATTGGTATATGTATAGGGCAACTTTAATTTTGATGTAGTGTGGGGCGTTGTGTTAAGTGCTTGATTGTGTCTTTTCGTGGTGTAGCCTTCATTTATTTCATTTGTTACTGCAGGTTATGGTTAAGTCATCGGTTTATATATATATATTTTAAAAAAACACCGGCTTATGTTAGATGGTGAATATGTAAACGATAGGTAGTTTAAATCTTAGAGTCAATCTTCATTATCCTGTAGCTCAGTTGATAGAGCGTCTGTTTCCTAAGGAGAAAGCCATAGGTTCGACCGCGTTGTAAATTATGTTACAGTTCTTTTATCTTCAGGCGAGTGCTCCATTGAAGGTGATAGTATCTTTGGCAGAATTAGAAGCCAACCCTTTAGTTTGAGTACCTTTTAATCTATAATTATATTTCAATTATCTCATCACATTAAACATTTTCACAAAAATTATTTATTTATGAATCACATACTGATTTTGATGAATTCTAAGGATTAATTATAACACAATCATTATTACTTCATAAACTCTATCCTAAAAAAAAGTACTTTTTACATTAGAAGTAAAATTCTCCTCCCTCTAGAAAGAGGTTGTTAAAAAACAAAATTTACTTATGTAGTAATTAAGTACAACTTTTTGCACTAATTATAAGTTAATCATTGATGCTTAATTTCCCCACAATTTCAGTAAAACCAAAGTTCACATAGTATCTAACCATCTAATTATAAGCAGTTCCACACGGAATCGAAGCTCATTAAAATAAATAAATAAACAAACAAAATCGTTTATGATTGTTAAGTAATGCAGAAACTACAACAATGGTGATAACAGAAATGAACAAGGAATGCATTGTTATTGAACCAGATTACTATACACCTCATTTACACTTGTTATTTATAGCTCACTTATAACAACCTCTAACAACTTAACAAACCTAAAATTGTTTCCTAACAGCTTCCATATGACGGTTAGCCACATCCATCATCATCTCTCAGTTTGCATGCATGATATGCACGAACACTCCAACTCACGTGCATGAGTTACTTTAACATATCTCAACATTTTCTCCACTTTTTTTTTCTCCTCTTCTTTAACAATATAACACTCGTAATTTTCCACGAAACTGCTCAAATGCGAGCTTAGTCAGTGGCTTGGTTAGCCCATATGCTATTTGGAATTCAGCAGGAACATAACTAACCCGAAGTGCACCAGCTACAACCTTCTCACGAATAAAGTGAACATCGAGTTTAACATGCTTGGATCGAGCATGACAAACCAGATTCACACTCAAGGCCACAACACTTGTGTTGTCACACCAAATAACAGGTGCTTCATGCAGGGACAATCCAAGATCACACAACAACGCAGTAAGCCAGGTCACTTCTGCAGCAGACTCAACAACACTCCTATACTCGGCTTCCATTGTTGATCGAGAAACAGTTTTCTGCTTCTTTGAGTTCCACGCAACCAAGCAATCTCCAAGAAAGACACAATAACCAGACATGGATCTGCGATCACTGGCATCACCAGCCCAGTCAGCATCTGAGAATGCTTTGACACATAGCCGAACATCACCTTTTGAGAACATCAACCCATGATCAAGCGAACCTGCCAGGTAATGTAGGATTCATTTGACTGCTGCAAAATGAATCGTTCGCAGAGATTGCATGAACTGAGCTGCTTTATTAATTGCAAATGCGATATCTGGTCGTGTATGGCAGGCATACAAGAGATCACCCATAATACTTCGATATTCTTGAGCGTTTGTCATTAGATCACTAGTCTGATCAGCAACCTTTGCTGCAACCATGGGAGTACAAACATGTGTTGCTTGACTCATGTTAGTTTTCTTCAACATCTCACATATATAAGCACACTGACTTAACAACAAACCAATACCAACCTTCTTAACTTCTATTCCCAGAAAGTAAGACATTTCACCTAGATCTTTAAGCGAGAACCGAGAACTAAGCAAACGAACAACCTAATCAACAGTTGGGATCGAAGTTCATGTGATGATGATATCATCTACATACACGAAAGCATATGTACTGCAATCGTCTTGAATTCGAACAAACAGTGATACATCTGTCTTCGATTCTACAAACCTAGCTCCAAAAAATAAGCTTTAAGCTTGTCATTCCAGTTACGTGGAGCTTGTCAAAGACCGTAAAGGGCATTCTGTAGTTTACACACTAGTGGAGTACCATCTTCAGCACAACTCTTAAATCCAGGTGGCTGTTACATGTACACTACCTCACTCAAGTCACCATTCAAGAACGCATTGTTGACATCAACCTGTCTCAAGGCCCAACCTCTTGCAACAGTCATGGATAAAAGCACATAAACAATTGAAAACTTTACAACTGGACTAAACGTGTTTGTGAAATCGAACCCAGGGACTTGTGTGAATCCTCTTGCCACCAACCGTGCCTTGTACCTGTGCACAGACCCGTCTGGATTTCTTTTAATCTTAAATAGCCACTTACATCTTACCACACTCCTGTCAGCAGGTAGAAGAACAAGACTCCACGTGCCATTTTGAATTAACGATGAGTATTCAGCATGTACCACATCTAACCATGGAGCAGACTGAAGAGTTTCCTTAACAGTTGCTAGTACAACATCATCAAAAAATGTAGTGTACATTTTTTGTCTAAACACCCCACACTTGCTCCTGGTTAACATAAGATGACAATTAGTAACCACAACCCTTGTTATGTCATCAGATGGTGGTTGTACTTCCATGGCAACTTCAGTGACACCAGGCTCCTTAGGTATTGCAGCAGTCTCATTGTCTACACCAAATCGTGCAGAACTGTATTCAGGAGTGTCTATAGATAGGTCAGCGAGCTCTGGCTCTCTAGGCCTGCTCAGCTGCGAACAAACTCTCGATTATTCAACAGGACTATCCTGAGCAAATGGAAAGCACCACTCATCAAATTTCACATGTCGAGACACCACTACTCGTTTATCAAGTGTGAGACATAAAACCCCTTTGTGTTGAGGGATTGTACCCAAGAATATGCATGGCTCAGACTGAAAATTGAGTTTATGATTGTTGAACAGTCTTAGATGATGGAAGCATCGACACCCAAATACCTTAAGTGATCCATAGTCAGGTTTCTTGTTGAACATACATTCGAATGGAGACTTTCCAACTAGTACCTTCGAAGGTAACCTGTTTATTAAGTGAACAACCATAACCACAACATATGACCAGTAGATGATTGACATGGACGCCTGTACAAACAGCACTAGAGCCAGCTCAACCACATGCCGATGTTTTCACTCCACGACACTTTTCTGTAAGATATATATGGACAGGTAACATGGTGGGATATACCACCTTCAGCGAGCACACGAGACAATCAACGATATTCACCGCCCCAGTCACTTTGAACAACCAACACTTTTAATCCAAACTGTGTTGCCACAAGCTGCTGAAACAATTGGAAGGCCTGAGTAGCCTGAGACTTGTCCTTAGCAAATATAGCCACGTGTGTCGAGTACAGACATCAAAAAAACTGACATAATACTTAAAATCGTTTGAAATAACAGGCGATGGCCCCTGATAACCGTCGTTTTGCTATCAAAATAATTCCTGGCTTCTTAATAAATAAAAATGAAAATGTAGTATAGAGAAGCAGGGTCGATCCACAGGGACTGTGGTGTTTTTGATTTAATAAAAATATTTCTTGATTTTAGAAAAAGATAGAATTCCAGATGAAGTTGAAAAGATATATTAAAATAAAATTAAAAAAAAAGAAAAATAATATAATAATAAATATTATTAGTAATAAATATAAAAGAGGGATTTTTTTAAAAGTTGTGGTTAAAATAAAAAATAAGAATTAAATAAAAGAAAAAAATAATTAAATAAAAAAATTAAAGAGATTAAGATAAAGAGAAACTTATTGTGAAAGCAACCTCAGACTTCAACTTCGCCTCAAATTCCTCAGATCATCGAAACAAATTGTTACTTCAAGATTCACGTAAGCTTACAAGAACAATTCTTCGCTGCCAACTTGGATTGTGTCGTTTCAACAACAATTGATTCCGATCTCAATTTCCTCTTAGCAAATAATTTTGCTAAGTGTGTTCTCGGGAAGTTGAATATGCTTTAATAAGCAAATCATTCTTCAAACATTAACCATAACAATATCCGCACCAATGTCGAAATAGTTTTGATTTGAAAAGTAAGCTTCAGAAAACAGAGAGAAAATCCGAAGCGATTTAAGTACCTTACAATTCTCACGTTTGGAATTGAGCCTTTGCTTTAGTCTTTAGCTTGAAAGAAAATTAGCTAAGCATAACCAAAGTCATACTTAGCATAATAGAAAAGTATGCGAAAAATAGAGAGAAAGCTAGAGAGAAAA